CCCCAAAACCCCAAAACCCCAAAACCCCTTGAAGATTATTCTAGCAGATTTTGACTAAAAATAATATATTTACTCTTTTAATTTTATTTTTAAAATTCTGGTCAGTAAAATATTTAATCAGATTGATATTAAAAGTCGACAATTTATCGATATGTCACTTATTAAAATTAAATGGATAAAGATATTCTCACACAGAACTCTTAAATTTCGGGCTAGCTGGCTTTACTTGAAACACAACTGAACACTTCTGCTATAAACAATAACTAATAAGTTGATGTTGAACTTCTTCCCAGAGATTATCAATGGATTTTGGAGAAATATAGAGAATCTGACTACTCTTAGACTGAAAAACTAACAAAATAAATTGAATTAAAGCTTAAACATGGTATTGAAGGTCTGGAGATCATATAACACATCATTATTCCATAACGAAATATCCTATTAATTGAATACAAGTACGAAAAGATTCAATATGGATAAAACCTTGATTTTATTGACCTTAATAACCAGCAACTATTAAAGACTATTAAAATAAGAGCAGATGGAAAAATCTACTATCAGCATTACAATGGCATAGACTACATATTCCATCGAGATTATGATTCTCTTAATCTCTCAAGGTTTGATGATTATTACTAAGAATAAAGAAAATTTGACATCAAGTTCATTATGGATTCAAAAGATGACTTAAACTATATTAGACATCTTAAAATCCTTGATGAGTTTAACATATGGATGGACATTGGTATTTACAACTATGTGATAAAATTTGACAAGTAACCATTAAACACCTTGAAACAAAATGCTCAATTAAAGATTCATATTCCTGAATTAGAGCGTGACTATGATGATGATGATGAAGATGAGGATGAAGATGAAGATGAGGATGACTACGGAGAGGAAGATGAATCAAACTCTGATGAGGGAGAAAAAAAATAAAAATAAAAAGAAATAAAATAGGATAAAAAATCTGAGTTGCCTTCAAACTAATTGTTTATTAAACATCCAAATTCAAGTGTATATCAAGTTGAAACTGACAAAGATTTTAGTCATAGATTTATTGAATCATAACTTAAAAATCATATTGTATTTTAAGCTAATTCTGGAACTCTCCTTCTTGATAAAAAAACACTAGAAATTGCTAAAAAACTTGATAAGTCTTATTATGTTATCAAGTATATGGATTTATTTGAGTATCTTTTAGATGAAGATTTTAACATATACAAGTTTGAAAACATTGATCAAAGTTCACCATAGAAAGTTCATAAACTTTCAGATTAAAAAATTGATTAATTACACAAGATAGTGGCTACCTCAAACAAATTCATAATCTTTTTCAAAAATAAATCTGAAGCCTTCTGCGTTTTAGTATTTGATGCTAGAACATTCTAATTGATTGATGAATTTAAAAACTTAATTGGAATGAAGGATGGGGATTCACTTTAAATTGATACACTCTACAATAGACTTTACTATAGAGATAAGAATGCTTTGAATTTTATAAGGTAAGTCAACTTCAGCAACAACTATTTTTAGCATAATGAATTAACTCCAGTCTTGTATTAAGGTAAATAAGTTGATCTCAATGAATACAAAAGTATCAAGAACAGATACTTATTGATTAAGCTGAGAAAATAATAAAAAGTTTTGATTTAAGACTTAGAAACAGGAATTTAAAAAGAAATGCCAAAGAAATACAAAGAATAACTAATCTCACATCTTGAAAATAATGAGAAAGCATTTAATGATGAAAAGTTCGAATAGATTGTAAAATAAGAGTATGAGAGAAAATTCAAAGAAGTCAAAGAGCTAAAATAAGGCGATATTATCGTAGGAAATGATGAATATTATGTTCATCTAAATGATAATCGTAAAATAAGATGGCCCAATTATACTTTGAAATTTGGCGTTAATTTAGCAGACAATAAAGGTAAATTTTGCGTCATGCTAAATAAATTCAATGAGAAATAATATGTGTTGAACATAATATCAGATAAAGAAGTTAGCTATTATGACATGAATACTTTAACATTTGAAAAACTTGACTTGTTGGATCTGAAGCTCAAGTAAGATTTTAAGGCTTAATAAGCATATCTTGATGATGAACGTGAAATTATAGCTATATAGGGATTTTATAGCAATCTAATTGTTTATAGTCTTCAAACTAAAAAGAGAATTAACGAGATATCCTATAAGTTATATGATTAATCAACATTTATCAGAAGCAACTATATTTAAATAGACTCTAAATATGCATCAAATATTTACTTTTTCAACAACAAAATACTAGACAAAATTATTACCATTAAATTACCAAAGGGATTAGAAATGAGGGATTGCTATTAACAAGAAATAAACAAAAAAGGGTATAAATTAATCTAAAAACTAGATGTTTACTAAGATTCGGAGATATATACTATGATTTCAAATCCTTTTGAGTAAATTTTCAATGATTAATTTTTAAATCAACCAATCTTCCCTGCATTTTATTTTGATTATGCTTAGAAAATTGAGATTGACGAAAGTACGATTTAAGTTTTTGTCAAAGGTGAATAATAGATGGTTGGATATTTTGATGTTGAAGTTACAAATTAATTAATTACAGAATACTAATAAACTTTTGCTATGAGTAATTAATAAATAGTTAAGGATATACAAAATAATGTAGATAGATATCTTAAATTTATTGCAGGCTATGGTACAGGTTTTGGTCTTTTCTAAAATAATTTAATTGCTCTTGAGGCATTAGTAAAATAGCTATCATTCAAAGAAAAACAATAAGTACCTATTTTAATTTGCTAGAAGTTACTAGGAAATGAATCACCTCTAGATTTTTCAATCAAAGCTCATCAACAAAAAATTATTAACCTGATGCTTTCAATATTAATCAAATATTAAGATCATATAATATTTAACAAACTGATAGACAAGAACTTATGTGAGTTAATTAAGCAATAAATAGACTTATAGGAATACTTTGATAGTAATTTACCCAAGTATTAAATTCTAGATCAGTCATTTCCAAATTAGCATTATTACGAAGAAGAAATGATTGTTGGTACAATTTTAACAAATCCAAAAGAGATTCATGAAAAGTACGATGAGTTATTAGGCTAAAAAATATCTTAGATAAAAGAAGAAGATGAATCTATGGTTTCAATAGAGTATCAATTGATCAACTTACCGGTAACATTAAGATAAAATCGCACTGATTTGATTTAAGTCTTGAGTGAAACAGATAAACCAGAATACTTCGAAAATGAAATAATATAGAGCATAATAAAATTCAAATGGAATACCTACACAAAATCATTTTATCAGAAGAAATTCTATATCTACTTGATTTTCATGACTTCATTTATCTTTGATATCTTCTATTCTACCTATGCTTCAAAAAATTCATAGGAGAAAACTGATCAATCGATAAAAGTAACAGATTCTGAAGTTATACAACCAAATATATGGCTAAAGATTTTAACAAAAGCAATATGTTGTGCAGTTCTCACATTTTTCTTAATCTATGAGATAAAATAAATAATAATTTAGAAAATCAGTTACTTCAGTGATGGATGGAATTATTTTGATTTTTCACTTATCTTATCTTATGTTACTTTTTGCATTCTTGATTTTACAAATTAAGACCAAGATAACTTAATCTTGATAAAAATTCTTGTGATCATACTCTCATTTATGAAGTTATTTTTCTTTTTGAGAATTTACGATGGTTTCAGTTTTCTCGTATAAATGCTTGCTGGAGTATTTAAGGACCTGAAATATTTCTTAAGTTTTTTCCTTATTTTTATCTTACAGTTTGGAATGATTTTCCTAGTCTTATTCAAAGCTTAATAAATTGATGAATACAATGGTGTTAATAAACTAGCCTATTTCTTAATGGCTTTCAGAATATCATCAGGAGACTTTCAGCTTGATGAATACCACACTCAAGGAGATGTATTAGTTATTTTTTCATGGATAATCTGGTTAGTAGCTGTAATGTTATTGAATATCGTGTTTATGAACTTCATAATTGCTGTGATTTCAGAATCATACGAGAGAGTCATGCAAAAACTTGTCTCCGAATCCTACAAGGTTAAGGCTAATATGATAGTCGAAAGAGAATAACTATTCGATAAAACTGATCTTGCTAGGGAAGATTATTTCCCTAACTTTATTGTTGTTAGAAGACAAATCAACAATGAATCTAGTCAATCTGGGGAATGGCAAGGATTTATCAAAGATCTCAAGTATACCATAAGAACTAGCAACGCTAAATCAAAAGGAGAAATTATTCAAAACTTAAACTCAATTCAATCCTTAAATAAAACAAATAACAGTCATCTAGAGAAGATTGATGAATTACTGTAGAAAAGTTAAAACAATCAAAGCAATCAGAACATTAATGAGATAATTGAGAAAAAGTTATCTAATTTTGAGATTTCACTTTCTTCATCTTTAGAGAATAGTAAAAACGATATCAAGGTATTGAAATAAAATACTGATGATTAAGCTTAAAAACTTGATTAGAACATCTAAAGTATTAATAAATAAGTCAAAGGGCTTGATCAGCAAGTAAAAGGCCTTGATTAACAAGTTAAAGGTGTTAATGAACAAGTTAAGGGGCTTGACTCTAAGGTTCTTGGGCTTAAGGATGATATGGAATTCATCAAAAGTTCTCTTACCTAATTACTTCAAAAGAATAATCAAGAATGATTATCTGAATTGAAAGAAACAATTAAGTCTTATAACTCTAAATCGTAAAAATATGTAACTGTAACTTGCTTTTGCATATTGAAATTGAGAGACAGCAAATTAACTTTACTCAGAAATTTAATGATCACTTACTATAAGATTATTTAATTTTAACTCAAATTTTATTTACTTATATTTGCTCAATCTCATCATTTTATAACTCATGGGGTTTTGGGGTTTTGGGG